AACACACGGTCTTCCTTAAGGTCAATCACAAATCCTACACAATTCTGACTCACCTTTATTTCGCAGTATTAATAGTACTTAATTTCTTATTTCTACGGCAATAGAATATGAAAGATCCACGTTACCTACTTTATAAAAAGCACGTTGTTTCAATAGTGGCGAAATTTGGGTGGTGTACGAATTCACCCATATCTAGTAATCGTCTTAGACATGTTGAACTATTTTAGATTAGAATAAGGAGACATTGTTTTGGTTTTTTAACCGTGGGGCAGTATATTTCCTGCCCAATATTAATTTAACATGACTTTCACTACCAACACTAAATAACTTGTTTCTGAAGATAAATTAACTAAATAAACAGCTTGTGTTAATTATTTATTATGTTCCTTTTTTAAGAGGATCAAAACCCTTGTTTTATATGAATAGTAGATTCAAGCTAGTATTAAAAACATGGAAAATGAGAATAAGTTGTATTATTTCGACGCTGTGTGAAAATGTAGACTGTATATTTTACTACTGACAAACATTCAGTGAAACCGTAATATTTAAAGGTAGGCGTCTCATAGTCAACGGATGACCTGGTATCCGAATGGAAAGACCTTAGTCGATATTCAGGCCCACTTCCGTATTTTGTATAAATGCTATATATCTAATATTCCTTTATCAAATGATGAAATATGTGTGCTCTTAACTGCGAGGTACTCGCTATTCATTTTCTCCTGATGTTGATTGATGACCGATGAACACAGATTATTCAGAATGTTCCCTGGCCTCTTGCTATAACTCATAAATAAAGGTAAATATATAGCAAGACCAATTGTACTAAGGAAATTAATAAAGAGTCACTAGTACGTTTTACACTTGTTACTACTTGACCATGAAATGCACTTTGACACTAATTGAATGTAATTTGTAATCGTCGTTACGGTGTTACTAAAAAATTGTTTCTACATGTTTTGAAACATTTAGTTGCTAAGCTGGAGATATGAAGCTCAAGCTAGGCAATAAAAATACCGACATATTCACATCAGTGCTGATCTTAAGATTAAGTTAGTTGTCCAGTGTACGCAGTTGAAATATTACGTATAATCTCCTAACGATTACGACAAAACCAAACTGGCCTAGCCATAAGTAACAAATGACGACCGGATCACGTGACACAATTGTCACTATAGGTGCTTACACAGGTCCGAAACCACAACAAATTGACTGATAAGTTAGTTACTCCCTTATAATTTTCTCACAGTTGACGTGAAAAAATCAGCAAATAGTCAGTGCTGATAGGGTACAGTTAAACAAGCTTTAGAGGTTCTATTCTCCCATCTTCCCCGACAATATATAAATTGTAAATATTCAGTCTAGTGAATAAAACTATCGGATTACGCAATAAACGTTTTGAAAGAATTCAAGAATACCAACTACAATTAACTAACAATGAAGCATATTCCATTCACTGAATAAGGTCAAATGTAGAATTTGTATTCAATACTACAGTGGATGAAGACTATTCGTCTGCTCTTGCTATACAGTAGTTAGTGAGTTGGATCCGATGGTCAGACGATATCTTATTTAAAGTTGCTTAAAGTTCTAAAATGTCTGATCAAGTAAACAATTCTTATTCGTCGTTAATCAGATTGATTTGTCCCTAGGCAAAATAATTACTATGGTAACGTAAGTTAAACCTTTTAATAATACGCTTAGAGATTTTGTTTTTTTTTATCTGTAGGTCGATGTTAGTAGGTAATTTGAAGACCGTAATCGAGTTATTTCTGGTTCTTCGATATGACAATGGGAACAGGTTTAGTTTAACCAGTCGAGTATCATACGGGAGCTTCGCTATTCCGAGAATCAGCCTAATTTCTCTTCTCTAAGCCTTTTCCAAAAGCTCACTGTCTTTTTAAAGCTGCATGTATTCAAATCTCAAGTTTAAGACGCACAAATACTGTATATAAAGTCAAAAAGCTTCCAGCGTCGACATGGCTCTACTTATTGACCACGGGGTCCTGAAACCTATGGCGGCTATTCCACAACATAATGCAGTAGGTTTAAGTCCTTCCTAACGATGACTCCTAAGACATAGAGTGTCTGGACAACAGGCAGCCCAATGCTAATCACCATTTATGTATCTGCACCTTGATTACCAATAAGCACCACAATATACTTGGAAGTATTTGTCAGAAACTTCCAAATTTTATATCATTCAGATTTCCTCAAGTCATGTTGAAACTTCAGTTTCTCACCTTTATTCTTTATCTCTCTACATATCTCAAGATCGTCAGCATATAGCGAAATCTATGATGATAGGAGAAGTAGAAAGTCATTTACATACAAGAGTAAAAACAGTAGCCCTAAAACTGTATCCTGAGGCGGTTAACTGAACAGTTTCCTTACTAGACAGCTTGAAATCCATCCGCTTTTTTGTTGGCGCCCATCTAGGAAGTCTTTTATCCACATTCATAAATTGCGACTGACCCCGACATTTCCTAACTTATATAGCAGTTGACTGTGTTGAACTTTGTCGAAAGTCTAGCTGAAGTCGATGTAGGCTACGTCTATAAGTAACCATGGGTGTTTAACAACTCACTAACTTTCACTTTCACTAATAATTTAGTGAGACAGATTTCCATCGAGATACATAAGCATTTACCTCCGTATAATCATTTCAAGGACTTTAACAACCATGCTGGTTAGGCTAATGGGTCGGCAGTTCTCAGATCTATATTTCGTAAATGTTTTGAAGACCGGACCTACTATGGTGTCCTTCCAGTCTTTTGACAGTCAATTAAAACATACACTTAAGGGGTTAGCAGTGAATTTAGCTAGTCTCCCAAGTAACCTAGGATGCATTTCATCGGCTCCTGTGAATCTGCCTATATCAAGTTTACTTAGCAAACCAAGGACACCCAGTTCTTCAATGGTCACACTGTCCAGTGTGCACCGCACAGCTTGGAATACGGTGGATCACACTAATGAGCAGCTCTTGTATTCTATTAAACAACTAACTAATCCACATGTCCAATTCACATGGGACTGTCGATAGTGATAAATGTGATAGTATTCCTAGTGAATATAGCTACTTCTTTACGCTTTTAGATATTGTCAGATTCTTATAACATGAAACCTTCAAAACCAGGTTCCATACGATTTATGGGCTATGTCAGCCAAGTTTCTGTGACTGCAGTTGCATACGCCTTGGTGGAGTCAACTTATGTACCTAGTTTCGACCACTTAATGAGCAAGCTTTGGACATCTTTTCAGCAGATCCTAAGCTTATTTAGATCGATTCGTGCTGCATTCATAGTAGCTTGGGCATCATTCTCTGTCAAGGCCTCACCACCCAAAAATTTACGACCACAAGGTCCTTTTTGCCAGCATCTAACCTAAAGTTTACTTCACTGTCGACTTCTCTTCTTTTCATACCGTCTGCGAGAGTCAAGTCCTTAGAAACAATAACTCTTGACCCTGTAGTTTATGTCCATTCTTTAATATTCGGTTCCGTTCATTAAATACTATTTTAAGTAGCTTGGTTCCAAATTCATTTGACTACGTAGTCTATACACCTTTGGCAAAGTGACTCCGGAGGTATCCTGAGGCACAAGCTTATTCAGTAGCTGTATTATCAACGCAATGATATGCTCAAAAGGATATTTCTGTCCGGAGCTCACACTCTCCATGATTTTATGAAAGATGATTTATTTGTCACTGTGATCAGACTTTAACTTCTCGGATACTATTTTTGGGACTGAATTTTCTTTAATATGGTTATGCCTTTTCTTGTTCTTGATTTGTATCATTCATCAACTTTCGTTGAAGTGGCAACCACAGTCGCGTCACACATACTATGAGATCCTGGATGATTGTCGTTCAGGTTTTTGTTTATCCTGCTAGAAACAGACTTAGTCTCTCGATTTATATTTCTAAGCGGTTCCTGCCAATACCACTTGGAGGACAGGGGAACATTCTTTTATTGAGGACATAGGTCTATGAAGTCGGCATTTCCCCATTTGATTCATGTAATTCAGCTGTCACCCAGCTTATTTGAGGTAACCTTGCATCAATATGTGTATCAATCGAGCGAGTGCTCTATTATGTAGTACCCCTCTTAGCAGCATTCGCCACTGCGATTGCTTCGGATAGAAAGATGTTTGTGTTCGAGCAGCATTACGGACGTACCCACAAGCAACCACACTTACTAAGCTTTTTAAAAACTGCAGGCGTTAGATTTATGCAAACTTCGTGGTATATCTCTTGCACTCGTCGCACTGCATGCCACTTTCCACAGGGTATCAACATAATGGGAGTTGGAAATTGATATCTATAGACTGTCCGGTCACAAATCGGAGGTATTTAAAAGAAACTAGACACAAGCGAAACCCAGAGACAAGAGGAAATGATGACCAGAAAAAGTAGAAAATTGTAAATTGATAGAATCAAAAGTGAAAACAAATCCAAACCAACTGATGATAAGTTACTTTAGAATAAACGATACTCTCGTCAAAAACTTTGACTGAAATTCAAGTGGAAACAATCAGCAATTTACGACCCAAACAATAAAATTTACTCAGCTAGAAAAAATATCACTTTCTTTTTTAAAAAGGTAAGATGACTAAGTGGAACTCGATTTTATTTTATGTGGTCGTATCGTGGGCTCTCTCTAGAGTCGACTTCTGTTCGTAATGGGTTTCTGGAGTGTGGTAGATACTATTTGAAAGGAAAGGAACTGGCTCTTCATATGCCGTACTCCAGTATGCGATATCATGTGTCAGAATACAGATAGACTTCACAGATCATTTTTAATCGCTTTTGTTTTCTCTGAATGAAGAGACTTCTAAAGGGAATTTTGTAGGTGTATTTTAGATTAAATCACTCAGAAGTCCGTATAAACAAATATAACCCTGGAAAACGATACATGAATGCATCCATATACATTGATCATATTCACACTTGGTGGTTCGTTAACAATTATCACAGTGGTGACACGAAAATCCCAATCCACAAATTTCCCACTGCATTATTTCAAAGAACACTATCTAGAATCAATCGAGCGTCAAACACAAGGTTGATACTTTGACGGTGTTGGACATAGTAAAATTATGAGTTCATATGAAATATTGTTGTGGATATTAACGGCTCGGTAATTGAACCGCACAGAAATGATCTGAAGTACGGAAAAGCAAAATATCTAGTAACCAATAGATTGTATTTATGAATAACCCGGAAATAGTTGTGAATAGCAGTATAATTGTATTTCAGATACTGGCCGGTGATTTCCAAAAGTGTTCAATAAAATCTCCGGTAATCGCGGAGAGACCAGCACTCAAGACGATCCGAATTAGGCATGTTTCAGCAGTAGGAAGCATAATCCCTACTGTTGTACACAAACGTATTAACACAAGACAGACAGTTCTGCGGTAAATTAGACGGATAGGGGTTTTATAATTAGTCATAAATGGGTACGAGGAAACCAAATGAATTGAATCAATGTACCTAATAGTCATGTGGTTATTGTAAACCATACTGGTATATAGTTGTATGAAATTGGCATGTACAGAACCCCCACCAGAACACAGTTCATTGAAGTCAAAATTATACTGCTGATAACCCAAAGTAGCACAGTTGCGAAGAACTCATGTTTCCAAAGAGTACCATAGAACGGTTATTTGTTTTCACTGCCGATGACAGACACCACAGCATGGGATGGGTATCAAAGTGATAAAACATTCATCTAATTAGTAAGTTGGAAATGATAAAAGGTTGATATCAGAAATTGCTACTTTATGGATTGCTGATAAATGACCTATCTACTTAACGATTTATAAAATAGACTAACAAGATACCTTTCTTATAAAAATATTACAAACTTAATGTGACTCAATGTTAACTTAGACTAAAAAGTATATATTCTAAAAACATACAAACAGTAATTTGAGGGGTTAGCGTAAACATCCACACTTCTCAAAACTTATGAATAACTTGAATTACTGACTCAATCGACATCTGCGAGTTTTGGAAACAGAGTGACCTACGACGAGGTACTTCAACTAAGCACTCCTCCGTATTTCGTCACACGAAGATAACCCATTTAACTGAAGGGCATCGAACGATTAACAGCTTATATATACTACAAGCCTTACAACCGGAAGCTTCCTTACCATAATAATATTATCTATTTCACGTCTTATTTAATAGTTTACTCATTACAGTAACACTAATTAAATTTGATGTTGCATTTTTTAAAGAACCGGTAGTAGATAAGTACTAGGGAACCATTTTATCCATCTGATCAGATAGATAGTTTGTTTAACCTTAGATATAGCAAGGTTGATTGTGAGCCAATTAGCCAGACATGAAAAGTAGACTGTATTTTAGCGAACACAAGTGAGCCGGTTAATGTCTCATTATATATTTTTATCTACGTATAAGTATATTGACAATCTTTTCGTTGAATTTGTCGTCTAAGATCTTATATTGTACTAACTATATATACTAAAATCAATAAAAATTATAAACGTATTTACTCATTAGTAATTTTATGGCTATAGTTATACCGCCTTATCAACTGTCTTAGTCCACTTGAAATACCTTCTTTGATTTAGTTTTCCACATATTGAGTTCTTTATGGTCGTTAACAAAAAAGGTCTGAATTACTTTTAATTGTTATTCCTTTGTTGGAATAAATGCTGAAAATTCCCATTTACCCAAAAACTATTAGGAAACGTCCCCACTGTAATTGTAATCTTATTTTAAGTAAAGACAGTTTAAACATTGTCCTATATGTACATAATTGTAACGATTCAGCTTATCAATTACTTAGTAAAAAACTAGTATATTTCGATTTAGATGATGTCCAAATGCTCATATATAACCAATTTCTTCTTGATTGATAAGCTGCATACGTCGTAAAGTAGGATGACAGAGTTAGTATAACCTACTCAGAATGTCCTGACCGGTGTTGCTACCTGGACGTGGTGGTTGGACTTTCCTTTAGTGATGAACCAATCGCGCTATACTCGTGGAACAATCGTTCCTCAAAGTACCAGAGTGCAAGACAGGTCTGTTGAGGAGCGGTAAGAGTAAAAGCAACAAGCATTATTAGAGAGGATCCCCGTTAACAGTCGTCTATGTGCTGTTCATGTAAACGGCTTCGTAAAAACTTGTAAGGATAGGGACACACGTCGTTTCTGCCAACACTCGCACTGACTGCAGCCCAGATGAAGTGAAAGATAACTACAGAAAACTCTCTGAACTTCTTTATAAAGCTAAACGCTCAGACATAGAACTTGTAGTATGTGACTTGTATGCCCAGATAGGTAGCTTAAACCAAACAGAAAGACATTCAGGTATTGCGGCTCAGCGAACAGATAATGATGATCATCTGCTGCAACTGTGCTCAGACAATCATTTATTTTTAGCAAACACAAATTTTAAACATAACGCGAGACATCGTCTAACATGGCGACTCCCTGCACCAAACCAACGATGGACTCAAATAGACACTACTGCCATCAGTCATCGTTGGAGATGGTCGATAGAAGATTGTCGCTCATTCTGGAATACCTTCTTGGACTCCGACCACGCGCCCTAATACGAGCACGCATCTGCTTGCACCTCACTGGACGCAGAAACTTACTTACTTACGCCTGTTACTCCCAATGGAGCATAGGCCGCTGACCAGCATTCTCCAACCCACTCTGTCCTGGGCCTTCTTTTCTAGTTCCATCCAATTCTTGTTCATTTTTCTCATGTCTATCTCCAGTTCTCGGCGTAATGTGTTCTTTGGTCTTCCTCTTTTCCTTTGACCTTCAGGATTCCATGTGAGGGCTTGTCTTGTGACGCAGTTCGGTGCTTTCCTTAATGTGTGTCCTATCCACTTCCAGCGCTTCTTCCTGATTTCTTCCTCCACTGGGATCTGGTTTGTTCTCTCCCACAGTGCGCTGTTGCTAATAGTGTCCGGCCAATGGATTTGAAGTATTTTGCGTAGACAACTGTTAATAAACACCTGTATTTTCTGGATGATGGCTTTTGTAGTTCTCCAAGTTTCTGCCCCATACAGTAGAACTGTCTTGACATTTGTATTGAAAATCCTGACCTTGGTGTTGGTTGACAGCTGCTTTGAGCTCCAGATGTTCTTCAGTTGTAAATATGCTGCTCTTGCTTTGCCGATCCGTGCTTTCACATCTGCATCAGATCCACCCTGTTCATCAATGATGCTGCCCAAATACGTAAAGGTTTTTACATCTTCCAAATCTTCTCCATCAATTGTGATTGGATTGGTGCATGCTGTGTTGTATCGGAGAATCCTGCTTTTCCCTTTGTGTATGTTGAGACCTACTGCTGCTGAGGCTGCTGCCACGCTGTTTGTCTTCTCCTGCATCTGTTGTTGCGTGTGGGATAAAAGGGCCAGATCGTCTGCGAAGTCTAGATCATCCAACTGCATCTTAGATGTCCATTGTATCCCGTGCTTCCCTTCAGACGTTGACGTCTTCATGATCCAGTCGATCACCAGGAGAAAGAGAAACGGTGAGAGTAAGCAACCTTGCCTAACACCGGTCTTCACTCTGAACGACTTTGTCAACTGTCCTCCATGCACGATTTTGCAGTGTAATTCATCATATGAGTTCTGTATGATATTGACTATCTTCTGGGGCACGCCGTAGTGTCGAAGAAGTTTCCATAGTGTTGTTCTGTCCACGCTGTCAAATGCCTTTTCGTAGTCAATAAAGTTGATGTAGAGTGATGAATTCCATTCAATTGATTGTTCCACAATGATCCGTAGAGTTGCGATTTGGTCTGTACACGATCTATCCTTACGGAATCCTGCCTGTTGGTCTCGAAGTTGGGCGTCTACACAGTCCTTCATCCTGTTTAACAATACCCTGTTGAAGACTTTTCCCGGTATTGAGAGAAGAGTGATGCCTCTGTAGTTATCACACTTGCTGAGATCGCCTTTCTTCGGTATTTTGATTAGAAGTCCTTCTTTCCAGTCTGTTGGTACTTGTTCCTCATCCCAAATCTTATTGAAGAGAATGTGGAGTATCCTAGCAGTTGCCGCTACGTCTGCTTTTAGTGCCTCTGCTGGGATGTTGTCCGGTCCTGCTGCTTTCCCACTCTTGATTTGTCTGATGGCCATGCTGATTTCTTCAATTGTTGGTGGGCCAACATTGATTGGGAGGTCCGTGGGTGCTGCTTCGATGTTGGGTGGGTTCAGTGGGGCTGGTCGATTCAAGAGTTCTTTGAAGTGTTCTATCCACCTGTTTTGTTGCTCTTCAATGTGGGTGATTACCTTGCCTTCCTTGCTTTTCACTGGTCGTTCTGCTTTGCGGCGATTTCCAGAGAGTTTCTTTGTCGTGTCATACAATTGTCTCATGTTTCCTTCTCTTGAAGCCTTTTCCGCCGTCGTTGCTAAATCTTCCACATATTTACGTTTGTCGGTTCTGATACTCCTCTTCACTTGTTTGTTTATTTCCGTGTATTCAGCTTGTGCCTTAGCTTTTTCTGCTCTTGTTCGGCTGGTATTGATCGCTGCCTTCTTGTTTTTTCTTTCTTGAATCTTATCCAGTGTATCAACAGTGATCCATTCCTTGTGGTGGTGCTTCTTGTGACCCAGCAGCTCATGACATGTTGAAGTGATTGCCTCTTTGATCCCCTTCCAGTTGCTCTCCACAGTAGTTCCTTCTCCATTGAGTAGATCATGAAAGGCCTGGAACTTGTTGCTGAGGACTATCTTGAATTTGTTGAGTTTGTTAGTATCCTGGAGAAAGGCCGTATTGAACTTTTGTGATACTGTCTGCCCCGTTGTCCAGTGCTTCTTGAGTTTCAATTTCATCTTGGCGACCAGTAAGTGATGATCTGATGCTATATCAGCTCCTCTCTTGGTTCTCACGTCCTCTACAGTCCTCCTGAACGTTTTGTTGATGCAAATATGGTCGATTTGGTTTTGTGTAGAGTGATCCGGTGAAGTCCATGTGGTTTTGTGTATGCGTTTATGTGGGAATATGGTGCCGCCTATGACCAGCTTATTGAAGGCACATAGATTTGCAAATCTCTCACCATTTTCGTTTCTTTCTCCCAGTCCGTGTCGTCCCATGATGTCTTCATATCCAGTGTTGTCCGTCCCAACCTTGGCGTTGAAATCTCCCATCAAAATGGTCAGGTCCTTTGTTGGGCACTTCTCGACGATTGACTGCAGCCTATTGTAGAATTGATCTTTAGCGTCTTCATTGTAGTCGTTGGTAGGCGCATAGCATTGGATGATGTTCATTGAAATGCCCTCTTTCTTTGTTTTGAAGGAGGCTTTGATGATCCTTGGTCCATGAGATTCCCATCCTATAAGTGCATTTTGCGCTTGTTTGGACAGCATCAGTGCAACTCCTTGTGTATGTGGTGCATTTTCTTCTGCATGGCCGGAGTATAACAGGAGCTCTCCTGTAGTTAGTCGTTGTTGTCCAACTTGTGTCCAATGTGTTTCACTGATCCCAAGTACCTCTAGGTTGTATCTTCTCATTTCTGCAGCAATTTGGAAGGCTCTTCCGGTGTCCCACATTGTACGAACATTCCATGTACCTAAATAAATGGTTGCTCTGGTTGTCAGAAGGGGCATCGGCCTCGTAACTTCCGAAGGAATTCGGCTTTCATCATGAGGCGTCATAATTCTTCTAAATGAAGACCTTCTGACTCCCAGGGCAGAGTTTAAAAGGTTTGAACAATTTTTTCTGGTTAGCGTTTTTTTAGCGAGTTAGTTTTCTACGGGATGGGGACGCTAACCCCATGCCCAACCCTCCTCCTTTATCCGGGCTTGGGACCGGCAGTAGCCCCCGGAGGGACTCCAGGCGGAGTTTGGACGCAGAAAAGCCACAGTAAAAAGATCCATTAGAATTGAATTGAGTGACGAGAAAACCAAAAGTAGGTTCCAGGAAAAACTGATGTAAAAATTAGGTAGTTCTGAAAATGAGGTTGACCCAGATGTTGCTTGGGATGATATAAAAACAGCTGTGGCATCTGTTAGTGATTCAAACCAAAGGGTTACAAAAAACCAGTGGATTTACTCTAAGTCTATTGCACTGATGGATTCTCGTAAACTCATCCCATCAGGCTCTGAACACGATGAAGAGCGAAAACGAATCAGATCTAGGTTAAGCAAAAGTCTAAGGAACAACCGTAAGCAACGAAAGCAAAAGAGATGGAAAAGGCAGAGGCTGTAGGTAACACCAGACAGCTCTTCAGACTAATAAAAGAAACTGGAATTAACAAGTCATGTGTAAGTGAGACAATCTTGAAAAAAGACAATCTTATCTACTCCCAGTCAAGACGTTTAGAACGACGGGCGGAATATTTTAAGGAGCAGTTCAGCTACTCTACAATTACCCACCATTCTCAAAACGTTGAAATGGGCCCTCCGATCTAGCTGAAGTTCAGAAAGCTATAGCTGATCTGAAATGGAGAAGAGTAAATAAAGTAAATAAACCTTGTGAAGGATCTTTACTCGAAAACTACTAGTCGAGTCAGGGCTTATGGCGAACTGTCATCTACTTTTGCAACCACAAGTGGTGTCCGTCAAGGCTGTCCACTTTCTCCATTTCTGTTTAACTTCATCATAGACCTACTTATGGAAATAACATTCTCATCGACTGAATTCTCGGGTATTGATCTCCTACCAGGAGGTCCACTTATCGACTTAGAATAGGCAGATGACATAGTCCTATTTGGTGAAGATGCTGACAAAATGCAGTCTTTTGGCAGCACTAAGCAACAATGCCAGAATGTTTGGAATGCGCTTCTCTCCTTCTAAATGCAAGTTGTTGCTTCAGGACTGGCCTGTGTCAACACCTGAACTAAGGGTAGGGAGTGAAGTAGTCGAACGCGTCGACAACTTCACTTATCTTGGAAGTCTGATCAGCCCTAATGGGCTGGTATCAGACGAAATCTCAGCACGGATTCGAAAAGCTCGTTTGGCTTTTGCCAACTTACGTCACCTATAGCGAAGGCGAGATATCCGTCTATCAATAAAAGGACGAGTATACTGCGCGGCAGTTCGTTCTGTTTTGCTTTGTGGCTGCGAAACGTGGCTATTAAGAGATGAAGATACTAGTAAGCTACTAGTATTTGACCACAAATGCCTTGGAAGTATTGCTCGCATCTGCTGGGATCACCAAGTAAGTAATAGTGAGGTTAGACGTAGGGTATTAGGGAACGATGGTAAATCAGTTGATGAGGTTGTGAATCTTCATCCACTGAGATGTTTGGGCCACGTGTTGCGTATGTCTGAACACCGATTACCACGATGTGCAATGCTAACTGGTGTTGGGGATGGTTGGGAGAAAGTTAGGGGCAGCTAAGCCAAAAACGTGGCATCAGTGTTTGAAGACACTAACCTCTAGTCTGAACCATGTTGGTAGAGGCAGATCACTTGGTTGGGGTCCGCGTGACTTTCGTAACCAATGGTTGGAGACTCTAGATGACATGGCTCAGAATCGATCACAATGGCGTCGGTGTATACACTCTCTGTCTTCCCTTAAACTAGAGATTAAAATCGCTTCATATCTTTCTTTCTACGACCTAATTCTTTCTTCCTGTACTATATGCAATTATATGCAATATTTCTTTTATATATTACCACCACTGAATTAACTACTTCTATGAATCCGGTGTTCATCTTGTTGTGCTAATGAGGTGTGGCAACTTGGACCAATGTACATATGTGCCTGGTCCTACGTTGTAGCTGACTGACTGACATAGAATGTATCGAGCACGATTGATAATTCGCAAACTCTGGTTCATTGAGAAAAATTTTAAAATAATCATGAGATTCATTTAAAGTCCATATCATAAATTATTTACAGTATACTGTGCCGTATTACGTGACCAAATCGCCCCTGAACCAATTTGGATAAGATTGTAAAAAGATAGATCATCATTAGCGTCGTTTTTCTGATAGTTTATAGGGATTGGGGAAGCTGGAAATAAGAAATACAGTTAAGCAATTAGCATAGATAAAGAAAGCAAAATTTTAAACAGGATTTTCAAAACAAAATAAGTCTTTCAAGTGATTTCTATTAATGACCGGTATCTCAGATAACATTTCGTTTTACAAAAGTGGTTTTAGTCTCAGAACAAACTACACGGAAACAAGTAAGTATTAGTGTATGGATAATTCTGCTGTGATGTGTGACAACTGGGATCAATATACACATTCAACTCATAACTTGCTGATTGGATACAATAGAGGGTTGGGAACCAACACATAATGTAACTTACTAGGAATTTCCGAAATTAAGAAAGTGACTGAAAACTTGGTAACGGTTTAATAATCGTTAACAACCAGGGAGGATTAGGCAGATTTACGCCGGACTTTCGAGTTCCAGAAAGATCCTCATCCAGAACCGCTCTCGAATTCCGACGCAGATGTAATTTCGCAGAGCTACGTGAAATAACCGAAAATACTTTGACCTCCAGTTATATACTTATATACTTCACAGTATAAAAACTAACGAGAATGTTATGAGTGGGTAGTGACGATCAGTTCATGTATTACGATCGTAATTATTTTACGAGAAAAATAACTAATTAGTATGATAAGAAAATGTGTACGCCACACTAACACCGATTTTAAGTTCTCTATATGTCGAGAGAGTTTGAACTACGTAAGAAAAATTACTAACAAATCAGTATCTGTTAAGAAATTTGACTTCGAGAGTGTTGAAAATGTCATCAGTAAGACAAATATATAGTCTACTTGTATCACGGAGTTGAATGTGTACACAAAACGATTGATAATCTGAGGAGACAGTTATAGAAGATGAAAATGGATAATAATTGTGTCACATCGAGAATTGACAGAAATTAAAAATGAATTCCTATCCAGACAAAACAATGGTCTAGTTACTCATGAGTTTTTAGTTGATGATCGTCCGTAATAAAATAACCTTCACAATATCCCGGTTAAGTGCTGACTACTAATAACCATCTATCTATAAGGTTTCCGACTGATAACCAGCAGAAAACAGTGCTTAATGCTTGTCACTTTCAATTATCAAACCTTAGAGTCCACTGCACTAGCTCAGATGAATTCGCATTTCAACATCCTTTAAATCCGTACACTATTTGATTTTATCGTCTTCTAATCCTTTTACTATGATTGGTATCAATCTACACATTGCTTTATCCTTAGTCTAGCTGATGGTCCTTTGGTATGCCAATGTAATGTGCTGTGATTTTGATCGGAACATACTTGTTTCACTTGCTAATAAGTTACTGATTATTCGGCTACCTAGTAGGAAGCAGGACTTTATCGGCAATAACAAGGAGTATAGATATAGGTAATGACAAGGGAGGATAATCAAATTAAAGCACAATTTCATTAAACTCGATAATCGATATCCATTGCATATAGACCTGGTGACTTAAGACATTAGCTTCGAGACTTGAAGGTCGAGTATATATACTTCTGGAGAGTTACAATATATCACCCTGAAATCATCTATACCCCTATAATTTTCAATGATTTTTTAATTAATATTTGGTCATCAAAGATCATAAATTTTAAGTAATGAGTTTTCAAAAATATAATCGGTTTAAGTTAAACAATAAGGCTTGTGAATAAAATGTGATCATTTTGTAGCCTCACATCTAATCTTATCCTCCTCAACGGGATTTATATTTCCTGATGAATTTGACTCTTTGGTTTCTATAATCGTTAATTCATTTTCTCCAGAAAAATAGGGTCTACCAAGAGTTTCTACCTTTTGGTTTTTACGGCGGCTAGCAACAGATGGCTGCCTAACAGCAGTGTTCTCTGGTGGTTGGGTTGAGTCGATTTCCGGACAATATATACCCAAAAGACGAGTGACATCACGCTGCAAATTAAATGTTACCAAACAGACAAATCAATAGGTGTGTGTATGAAAATATTATTGGAAAGTTATAGTTACAGAGGATTTAAAAGTCACAACTAGTCCCTTTGTTAACTTTGGATAATGCAATAAGACGAAGTTCATTAGCACTCTATGACATAGTTACGAAGTAAGTTTCGAACACCCTGATCATACATTAACTTGTCAAGACATTAATATGTGAAACCGGTTGCGTAAGTATTTTATGATTTACCTGGATTGATTGATAACTTAATTGTTATTCATTGAAATTAAGACAATTTGTCCCTTAGATGTAAATTTTCAGACAACGAGCAATTCACTTATAAGGGCGAGTACTGTGACAAGTTGATGGCATAGCTATAAGTTAACATTCAAGACTATAGTTAGCTGGTGTGTTTATGGCACATATAGAAAAACCAATTACAGACTCAATTAAAAAGATGCCTTTATAAGTGTTAAGTGGATGAGATCAGACCTAAGTGTAAACATGTGAACCACTTTTTAAAGAAATCTAATGTATACCAAAAGCATATTAATCTTTTATGTGGGACGGAAATGAATAATCCGCTTCTCTTCTTAAATATACACTAATTGATGGACAATGATTATATCATTCTATTTGTAAAAAACCAACATGTACACGGTAATATGTTATTTACTGTCCAGTACACTACAAGCTAGGGCCATATTAGAATGTTTATCCAATAGAACGAATTGTATCCGAAGAAGAGCTTTTAACTCAAACATAGATGCAAAGTGGACATTTATTTAAGTTCATAAATCGAAGCCAATGTGGAATGTGATGAGACCTTTTACGTTTCCGACACACAGAAAACATGTTTATATCACCCTACTATTCAGAGGTGATGTAAATGGTTGAGGAGACATAAATTGGCGATCAGTAGGATATTTCAGACAACCAAACTCATTATTCCTAAGAAGTTTAAGTCTAACTAAAAGTACAGAGTCTAGAAACGACTACGTCACATTCCAATGTGTCTATCAATTTGAATATGTGGACATATAAATAGGGAGAAACAATCGTGATGAGTATGTAAAGGTGGCTTAAAATATACCTAAGTGGCTACATAAGCAGATGAATTCCAGTGGTGAGTTAAGAGTACAGAATAGACAAATATCGTACTACATTATGAAACACTTGGTTCATTTGGGTCACGGAGTTAACATCAAATCAGCCACTTCCAGAGTTGCTCAGGGGCACATCCCAATATTTATTGAACCCTTTGGTTATACAAAAATTAAAACCCACTTATTTTGTAAAAAACAATTTGTTCCAATACTGAATCTAGCCAGGTATGATGTGGTTTATACTGTTTTCTCCATCTCCTATCTCTCTACTTGTTTAGTTGACCTCTATTTTTCATACATAAATATATACATACACAAATATATCTATGATCAGACTTTTCGAAATGTGTTGCGCTAAAATATCATAAAGATATGATAAGCTTTTTCCCCCCACTCTATTATTTAAAAAACCAACAGTCTGATTCTAGAGGAACTGGTTTACAAAAAGGGGTGAAAACATAAAACGATGGGATAACCAAGGATGACGTTTGAAACGGGTAGTTAACATTTGTCAACAAACTTCTCAAAAGGTAGTATCAAAATGAATATTACTAACACTAACAGTTAAAACCCCATAGTTTACAATATTAACATAATATTAAAAGTAGGGAGTGAACTGAGCACACAAATACAATTATTTTCTGTTGTAAACACAAGTGTACCAAATTGCAAATTTTGACCGAAAACCTCAATTTTAAGTTTTTTCATATGAATTAGTAACTAGATAAAATTACTCTAATGAGCATTTACAATCAACAACTATTGCTTTCTTAGTAGATCTTATACAGTTTGAGTCACTGTAAATCAATTTTGTTTATTGATTCCGTAACGCTTTTCATAAGAATTTATCTATGTCAACTAGTGATGTATTATTGTACGGCATTTGTTGAGTATATTCAACAAGAAAATGACTGTTTACACTATTACAGGTTAACAAGGATTATTATCACGTTTTATGGTTAAAACTAACAGACTACTTCAAAAGTAGTTGTGGGTAGCATTGGTTAAAGTTGTTAATTTTATGATAAGTCGTTTTGCACTAGGGAAAAGACTATGCCCGTAGAGAATAATTGAGGAAATAGTGCGTACTTATAGTTAAAAAAGGGAAGATGAGTCTATCCTTTATCATATTCCATTGATTGAATGGTTAAAACGCTCTACAAACAATTTGAATCATTAGTGACGGTGTGATGTTGCAGTGAACCAATCTAACTAATTTATTGTCTACTCGCTGTAATTTAGATATTTAATCCACTATGTAAAATTATGTATGAGTTCGACTGAGCGCATATCTACACATCAATATTTAATCTATCCTCCCATTGGTTGTAACACACAGACAATCAATAATTTATTCACAGTCGGTTAACGCTCCTAAATATACATGTGCTTGCTTTCTTCGCACTTACGGATCTTTACTAATCATTAACGATAAACTATCTCGACAACTGGTGTCCCGGCTTTTGTATAATCTCGAGTAAATCCATGATTCTACTAGGACATTTAGTCTGAGTAAACACTCAGTTAACGGGATACTATTTATTGGAATCAGATATAGAGGAATTAACCTCGACAATGTACACTATTTATGCGGACAGACAAATAGTGTGTAGCAGGAATTGAAAGTAGAATGCTTACCAATAGGAGAGTGAAATGAAAAGAGGAAGGAAAACGAAGGGCAACAGAATCGGAAAAATGATTAATTATGCAAAAGACAAATGAAGGGAGATATGTAAATGATGTAATTAATGTATAATTTCTTTATTTTACAAAGCTACTATTTGATTTCGCGTAAAACAATAAAATGATTTACCATACCTTGGTATTCCTTCACCACAACAGTATTCAAAGGACTTCTAATTTAAATACTATAACCCATGAAGGCTACACAGTCCAGTGATTAATGATATATGTACACTTGTTATTTTAAAAAAATAATGGTGTGAAGCCCATAGACAATCACTCGCATTGCCTGAGGCTTAAAATATATGCCGATACGAGTAAGGTTGGTTGCTATGATAATTTTGATGAAGAATAGACATTTCCATGACGGATCAATATTCTGCCACAAAAATAGATTCACATGCTCTTACCTCTGAAAGCGATTTTTCAGATACTCGACCGATTCGACTCAGTGTTTCTGGTTTCATAATCTCACTTGAATGCTCGCTGAGCAGATGTCGCCATGCGAGACTTGAAGCATTAAAACCAACGCAGACTGTGCTGGACTCCGATCGACACCACGGACACACATAAAGTGGTAGACCCGGATGCCTACCAGAGTCTAGAACATGTTTTTTTAAAGCATCTAGTTCGCTAGTACGGTGAGGACAATGAGGGCATAAGTATGGCCTGGCCCCAGCGTGTATACGAGCATGACGACGAAGATTAGAAGATGTGGTAGCGCTGTATTCACAATAATCACAAGAAAAACGACGACCTGTAAGAATACAGTAAAAATCAGATAGTGAGCTTTGTAAATAAAGTTCCAATTAAACCTACAATGTAATATGATGTCTCTTATAAGGAACATGAAAAATTGGTAATAATAATAATGATAATAATAATAATAAGCACGAAAATACTGATAAGGGACATGTAAAATACGATGTTCACACCTTGGCCATGAATAATTTTGTGTTGTGCAAGTCGACCGACTGTACGGGCTTGATACGAACATCCTTGTACTGGACAGGAATATGGTCTATCAGACGTATGTGTTGTCATGTGAGCTATAAGATGCGAGTTTGATAAGAATGCTCTACCACAACCTGGAGTTAAAAGGAAATGAAGATAAATATGTATTTAGTCTGAAACTTTATGGTACGCAAAACAATATGAATATAAATCTACACTTTTAACAATAATTCATTTACAGTGTACAAGTCTACGTACTCGGCTTTCAGCAACACTATGATGGCTGGTGATAATAACTAGCTGGTCAAAACAAAGTAGATGAAACGATGTTCGGACCTGCAACTTCATAGTTAGAAGCCAAGCTCTTCAGTCCCACTCCAATAAGTACAAATAAAGGAGTGACTTAAGGTGTTCCCTAGTCTAAGAAATCCTTATATAAAGTATCAAGACGATCGGAAGGTGAGGTTTTTGAACACATCGTTTTAATCTACACACCTACGATACTAGAGTAGTACTGAACGACTCAAATTTGCAACACACAAGTAAAACCCGTAACCTTAATAACATATTAATTCTCAATAACATTCTAGATATATATCTAGGCACCTTTTAAACTACATGAGGAATATTTTTTTAGTGAGGGATACTAACAGGGAGTAATTTCAAAGTTGCACAAACATTACAGCTTATTTAAGAAGAAATTTCTTGGTTTGCTAACACCTGGTAGGTTCCATTTTTAAAGACTGTGTCAGTACTTATCAGCTTTTTGCATATAGTGGTGCAAGGTTTGTTGTAGTATGAGTTCCTAACATTACATTCGTACTGATGTCACACACATTTTCCATGCGACGCTACTTCTTAACATACAGGTGATGACATTAACCAAGTAAATACGTGTTGTAGTTCTGATAAATAAGAGAGCGATTCCTTTTCTTTATTTTCACTAAGATGCTGCAGTTTACGCAACTAAATATTCAACAGGTGTACAATAGTTGAAAAGATTGAAACTCTTGGAGCAAAGAGAATAAACAACTCGTCGAATGGTAGTGGAGATAAGAAATTGAACAAAGTTTTAAACAAAAATCTAAAGTATTGAGATGAGTAGTGAATACAACTGCTGAGTACAAGGTACTCAGTAGATATTTTAGAGCCAACATTTATTATAAGGAAAACAAATCACAAAAGCTGTTATTTACTATAAAGCATACATTAACACACAGGAACAAGCTAAATTGTTATATTTAGATTTCTATCTACTTACTGAATGGTAACATCGTAAATAGATAAGATGACCAAACATACATGAAGTACCAACTAGCCACAATAGATAGGGTTGTTCAAACACATAAAAGTGGCAGTCTAAAAACTATAATAATTAAAAATGTACACATTGAAGCTTAATTATGAATTCATGATTGACAATACAGACAGGGTGGACTATCTTACAATAGTCATCTACAGAGTCGATAGAAATAGCTAACTAAGTAGGATTTACAGTTAAGTAAAGTATCTTGAGTTTTTTAAGCTTTAAGATAACTCCAGCTGAAGTTAAAGGATGACTAAATTTGCTGTGTTTGAAAAGTGACAACAATGCCACCTAGACCAGTGAACAGGACGAAAGTCAGAGACACAACAACCGGACAAGCTAAACTATTCACTGCGTTCCACCCCTGCTAACTCGAGGGAGACCACAATCAGACGAGGTTATTGTATATACTATAAGAAGCCCGGAAACATGAACGAACAAGAACACAACTCAAGCGTATAGATACGGTATAAAAATGTCCTTGGAAAATGTAAGAGGGAAGTAATCTATTGGATTTAGGAGAGAAATGAATCTCAAGCATTCTTGAAATATTGTTTAAGAAATTAAGAGCGAAGAATTTAATATCCTTCATTGTTAACAGTCATGCATTACCACTGTTAAGTACCACAAACATATTCGGTATAAAAACAAGGTGGATAGGTATAAGATAAAGTAGTCCTTCATTTCTGCGTTGGAATTTTATTGAGCGTTCATCCATTAAGCTGGATACAAATATTTAAAAAAAATTGATGAACTCATTCTGCGACTTCATTTGCTGTTAGTGAAATAAAAATAAGTCAATACGAGTCGTGAAGCATCTAAAGTATGCGGAGTCCATTTTGAACACATTCGAAATCTTGTTTATACATTTTAAAAACCACTTGCCCCCTGAATGCCCTGGTACGGCCGAGAGTGGGGAGAGTCCGCTCTCCCTCTCGAAATACTCTCACACGGCCACGCGTATACAGCCTCTGCCAGGGAAGTCCTACTCATTGCCTTCTCGTGGCGGGGGTGTTGTTTACGAAAATGAGAGGACGAAAAGCGAATGTCCGGCGCTTTAACCGGATTCCAAATCAATGGTGCACATGGGCTCCAGTATCCTGCGGGAACGAATGGCGTATGAACCAATCGTTGGTCACCGGCTACCATGGGACTGCATCTCCTTACGATGCTCCACTGCCTTGTGGGTTAGACCTTTAGGTCAAAGGCTCGGGGAGTGGCCCCCTAAGATAACCACCTGCTTCGGTTTGGGCACCCGGGCAGTATCACAGCCCACACACAAATGATGAACTCTATGTCCATGGAAATTACTTTTGTCGCTTTGAAAAACAATCAACTGATTCAAATTATGATCACTACAATTATTGTCATTATTAATACTAATATTATTATTACTACTATTATTGTCATTATTGTTATTATTATTATTATTATTTTCCACATTATTCACCTTCTTTTATACTTATACAGCGGCTCGTCTTTGGTGGAATTCCGACTGTATCTAAACGTTCTCGAGTCACTGTCCGGTTGAAAATTGTATGTTACCACCGAATACGAGGACTGAAGCAGATTTTCTGAAACCACGTGCACCATTCAAACTGGCTGCCTTCAACGTTCGCACACTTATGCAGGTCGGACAACAGATAGGGCTGGCTATGTCTTTGGGAAGTCTTTATATCGACGTGTGTTGTCTATCCGAGACCCGTATTCAAGACTCTGGCGAAGTACTACAAATTCGATCTCCATCTGTCGCTTCGAAAAGCTTGTTTTACGTGCGCTTATCCGGGGAACCTGTGGCATCTTCGTCTGGTCTTGCTGGCGTTGGTGTCGCACTAAGCGCTAGAGCTGAGGCAGCACTAGTCGATTGGATCCCCATTAACAGTCGGTTATGTGCTGTTAGATTAGAAAGTTCCATCAAAGTGAGAAGAAATCGGCGTGAGAAACGATGTCTTTTCGTCATCTCCGCCTATGCCCCGACAGATTGCAGCCCGGATGCAATCAAGGATGAGTTTTACCACCAGTTATCAGTTCTTCTCCAGAAAGTGCGTTCGACAGATATTGTAGTACTAGCCGGAGACTTGAATGCTCAGGTCGGGCGTCTAGGCACAGAAGAGAGTCGTTTAGGTGGCCGATGGGGACTCGTTGGTCGCAGGTCAGATAACAGGGACCGTCTACTGCAACTTTGCACAGACCACAACCTGTTTCTGGCTAGCACTAACTTTCGGCACAGTCATCGCCGATGTGCCACCTGGCGTCCTCCCTCTGCATCTCAGGCCTGGACTCAGATTGATCACATCGCGATCAGCTACTGCTGGCGTGGTTGTGTACAAGACTGCCGCTCCTTTTGGAGTACCTATCTGGACTCTGACCATGCCTTGGTCTGCGCCAATCTTGCCTTACTTTTCAGTGGACAACGAAGTGAACGCCATCAACGGACTGATGTTAGCAAGCTGGTTGCAACTTCTGTTGCAAGTAAGTATCGAACCGAGCTAGCCTCTAGGCTAGCTACCACTCCACCGAAAAGTATAGATGAGCATTGGTTGCAATTGCATGACGCCATGAAAATGGCGGGAACAGTCAGTTGTGGGTTTGCGAAACGTCCCGCTTTTAAGCACTGGGTTTCTTCTGGTTCCTTACAACTCATTGAAGCCCGTCGGTCTACTCCGGGTAACCGTGAGTTTGACCATAAACGAAGGATTTTACGTAAGGAAATCGGGCAAAGCTTGCGTAAGGTCCGAGAAGCCTGGTGGTCGATGCGTGCTAATGAGCTGGAAGCAGCAGCTGCATCTGGTAACTACCGGAAGCTCTTCCAACTCATCCGAGCCACTGGCAGCAAGAAGTCTGGTGTGAGTGAAACAATCTGCGAGGATGATGGGATGCCAATCACTAACATCCATCGACGTCTTGGACGATGGGCAGAATTTTTCGAAGGGCAGTTCAACTTGCCTGCTGCTCCGGCAACATCGGTCAGACTGTCCTGCCCTCCATGGCCGGTGACGACTGACCCACCAAATGAGGCGGAAGTCCGCAAGGAACTCCAACTCTTGAAACGCTACAAATCACCTGGCCTAGATGACTTACCTCCAGCTCTTTTTAAAGATGATGGTGACTTTCTGACTAAAGAACTGACGATGTTGTTTACAAAGGTTTGGGAACTAGAGAGTGCACCAACGTCATGGAATGAGTCGATAGTTGTCCCTATCTTTAAAAAGGGTTCACGTCGTTCCTGTAACAACTATCGGGGGATAAGTCTACTTCCGATTGCGTCCAAGCTATTGGCTTCCGTCATACTTCGTAGGTTGTTCAAAACCCGAGAAAGATTGACTCGTGAGGAGCAGGCTGGGTTTTGTTCTGGTCGAGGATGTATTGATCACATCTTCACTCTCCGCCAAGTGTTAGAACACCGCCATACTTATCAAAGGCCAACAATCGTAGTGTTTCTTGACATCAGGGCTGCCTTCGATTCGTTGGATAGGACTGTTCTCTGGGATTGTCTATTGAAGAAGGGTGTGCCTGAGAAGTTTATTAACATCCTAAAAGCCCTGTATAAAAACATCTCAGGCAGAGTGAGGGCATACAACCACCTCTCTCCATTGTTCCATTCGAGCAGTGGGGTTAGGCAGGGTTGCCCAATCTCACCATTCCTCTTCAACTTTGCCATCGATGAAATTCTGGAAACAGCTCTGATGAATGTAAGTAATGGTGGTGTGGATCTGTTGCCTGGAGAAAAACTTCTCGACCTTGAGTATGCGGACGATATTGTCTTACTGTGCGATAATGCCCAAGCCATGCAATCCGCACTTAATCAGTTGGCAATCAATGTCCGTAGGTATTGTATGTGCTTTGCACCTTCGAAGTGCAAAGTACTTCTACAAGACTGGCAGGATTCTAATCCTGTACTCACCCTGGACGGTGAGCAGATAGACGTAGTTGAGAAGTTCGTGTATCTGGGTAGCTGCATAAGTGCTGGTGGGGGTGTGAGTGATGAGATCAATGCACGAATAGTGAAAGCCAGAGCGGCTTATGCCAATCTGGGCCACCTTTGGCGCCTTCGTGATGTTAGTCTGGCTGTAAAAGGCCGGATTTACAACGCGTCGGTGAGAGCAGTTTTGCTCTATGCTTGTGAAACCTGGCCTCTCCGAGTTGAGGACGTTAGACGACTCTCTGTGTTCGATCATCGCTGTCTCCGAAGGATTGCTGACATTCAGTGGCAACACCATGTTAGTAATGCAGAGGTTCGGCATCGTGTGTTCGGGCACAGAGATGATAATTCAATTGGTGTCACCATCTTGAAACACCGACTTCGGTGGCTTGGACATGTTCTCCGAATGTCGTCCCAGAGAATTCCACGTCGTGCATTATTTGCCGACTTTGGGACTGGTTGGAAGAAGCGGAGAGGTGGTCAGTGCATGACATGGTGTCGTGGCATGAAAGAAAGCTGCAAAGGACTGGCTTGTGTTGGTCCTTCACGACTCCCTGGCTGATGTCCGAGAGATGGTGCTACACAGTGGCTAGAGACGTTATCAGATATGGCTCAGAATAGAAGCCAGTGGCGATCCTGCTGTAACCTTCTTTTACTTTCTTCATAAAAAGTGGTTGTGTCTCCTTACCTGAAAGATTTCTTCTGATTGTACCTCTTCGTCATTACTCTCTCTTTCTTTTGCGTTCCTTAGTTTTTTTTCTTTCTACTTCTCTTCGAATTCCCATTGTTTTGTGTGGCGCATATATATTGGCGCTCTCTTGTACCAATATTTATGTGTTCAAATAAATAAATAAATAAATAAAAACCACTTACCATATACGCGAATTCACTAAACAGTTCCATGTCTGTCAAATACTTAATCCCTGACGACAAAACATATGCCTATAATGATCGGATAGAATGCCTTACTTCACAATATTTGAGTTGCAAGTTATCCAACTATTTCATAGATCCATAAAACTACAGATGAATACCACTATGAACATTCAAAACAATATACACTTTGAAAACAGTATAGTTTACTTCATTTGCTGATTACTCAACTAATTATTTGCGTGCAAAACAGACGTTGTTATATAGCCTTTCTGAGACAAACAATAAGAAACACACTAAAACGTATTGACGCAAACTCACTTTTTTCTTTACACAGAAATGTACGTTGTGAATGAGTGTAATAGATGTGACGGGTGTACTGAATATCAGTCCTAAATTTCTTTCGACATACCTCACAGCAGAATCTTGGCTCCGAATTACGATTAGAACAGACTAAAAGGGAAAATTATAGTACAATAATCACAGAACAACATACCCATTAATAAATCACTTTCTAAACTTTTTATGATGGGTAGATTGACAATGAAATTTAGTCTTTTCTTCTAACTACTTTCCGGCATTTTATGTTGCAGACAGCTTTAACCCGTGTAATTACGAAAACTAATTGAAAATTACAAAAATAAAACTTATCGAGTCCTATACACGTACAGGGAAAAATGTAACCAAAAACAGCACCATTCATACGGTAAAATTCAGTGACACGTTCACATTTGTGTGAACGAAATAACAACTTACAAGTCTAACACTGCTATTAGCAATACGTTTTCAGTTTTATATTTACGGAGAGTAATCTTTGGAGTTAAACATAATTTAACGGACAATTTTCAAAAGTGAACACTAGTCTTAACTTCTAAATTTAAATAATTAAAGGGACTCCGCCTGGAATCCCTCCGGGGGCTACTGCCGGTCCCAAGCCCGGATAAAGGAGGAGGGTTGGGCATGGGGTTAGTGTCCCCATCCCGTAGAAAACTAACTCGCAAAAAAAAGGCTAACCAGAAAAAATTATTCAAACCTTTTAAACTCTGCACTGGGAGTCAGAAGGTCTTCATTTAGAAGAATTATGGCGCCTCATGATGAAAGCCGAATTCCTTCGGAAGTCACGAGGCCGATGCCCATTCTGACAACCAGAGCGACCATTTATTTAGGTACATGGAATGTTCGTACAATGTGGGACACCGGGAGAGCCTTCCAAATTGCTGCAGAAATGAGAAGATACAACCTAGAGGTACTTGGGATCAGTGAAACACATTGGACACAAGTTGGACAACAACGACTAACTACAGGAGAGCTCCTGTTATACTCCGGTCATGAAGAAGAAAATGCACCACATACACAAGGAGTTGGATTGATGCTGTCCAAACAAGCACAAAATGCGCTTATAGGATGGGAATCTCATGGACCAAGGATCATCAAAGCCTCGTTCAAAACAAAAAAAGAGGGTGTTTCAATGAACATCATCCAATGCTATGCGCCTACCAACGACTACAATGAAGACGCTAAAGATCAATTCTACAATAGGCTGCAGTCAATCATCGAGAATTGCCCAACAAAGGACCTGACCATTCTGATGGGAGATTTCAATGCCAAGGTTGGGACGGACAACACTGGATATGAAGACATCATGGGACGACACGGACTGGGAGAAAGAAACGAAAACGATGAGAGATTTGCAAACCTATGTGCCCTCAATAAGCTGGTCATAGGCGGCACCATATTCCCACATAAACGCATACACAAAACCACATGGACTTCACCGGATCACACCACGCAAAACCAAATCGACCATATTTGCATCAACAAAACGTTCAGGACGACTATAGAGGACGTGAGAGCCAAGAGAGGAGCTGATATAGCATCAGATCATCACTTGCTGGTCGCCAAGATGAAATTGAAACTCAAGAAGCACTGGACAATGGGGTGGACAATATCACAAAAGTTCGATACGGCTTTTCTTCAGGATACTAACAAACTCAACAAATTCAAGATAGCCTTCAGCAACAAGTTCCAGGCCTTTTATGATCTACTCAATGGAGAAGGAACTACTGTGGAGAGCAACTGGAAGGGAATCAAAGAGGCAATCACTTCAACATGTCATGAGGTCCTGGGTTACAAGAAGCATCATCACAAGGAATGGATCACTGTTGATACACTGGATAAGATTCAAGAAAGGAGGAACAAGAAGGCAGCAATCAATACCAGTCGAACAAGAGCAGAAAAAGCCAAGGTACAAGCTGAATACACAGAAGTAAACAAACAGGTGAAGAGGAGCATCAGAACCGACAAACGTAAATACGTGGAAGATTTGGCAACGACGGCGGAAAAGGCTGCAAGAGAAGGAAACATGAGACAATTGTATGACACGACAAAGAAATCGCCGCAAACCAGAACGACCAGTGAAAAACAAGGAAGGCGAGGTAATCACCAACATTGAAGAGCAACAAAACAGGTGGATAGAACACTTCAAAGAACTCTTGAATCGACCAGCCCCACTGAACCCACCCAACATCGAAGCAGCACCCACGGACCTCCCAATCAATGTTGGCCCACCAACAATTGAAGAAATCAGCATGGCCATCAGACAAATCAAGAGTGGGAAAGCAGCAGGACCGGACAACATCCCAGCAGAGGCACTAAAAGCAGACGTAGCGGCAACTGCTAGGATACTCCACATTCTCTTCAATAAGATTTGGGATGAAGAACAAGTACCAACAGACTGGAACGGACTTCTGATCAAAATACCGAAGAAAGGCGATCTCAGCAAGTGTGATAACTACAGGGGCATCACTCTTCAACAGGGTATTGTTAAACAAGATGAAGGACCGTGTAGACGCCCAACTTCGTGACAAACAGGCAGGATTCCGTAAGGATAGATCGTGTACAGACCAAATCGCAACTCTACGGATCATTGTGGAACAATCAATTGAATGAAATTCATCACTCTACATCAACTTCATTGACTACGAAAAGGCATTTGATAGCATGGACAGAACAACATTATGGAAACTTCTTTGACATTACGGTGTGCCTCAGAAGATAGTCAATATCATACAAAACTCATATGATGGATTACACTGCAAAATTGTGCATGGAGGACAATTGACAAAGTCGTTCGAGGTAAAGACCGGTGTCAGGTAAGGTTGCTTACTCTCACCCTTTCTCTTTCTCCTGGTGATCGATTGGATCATGAAGACGTCAACGTCTGAAGGGAAGCACGGGATACAATGGACATCTAGGATGCAGTTGGACGATCTAGACTTCGCAGATGATCTGGCCCTTTTATCCCAAACACAACAACAGATGCAGAAGAAGACGAACAGTGTAGCAGCAGCCTCAGCAGCAGTAGGTCTCAATATACACAAAGGGAAAAGCAGGATTCTCCGATACAACACAGAATGCACCAATCCAATCACAATTGACGGAGAAGATTTGGAAGATGTAAAAACCTTTACGTATTTGGGCAGCATCATTGATGAACAGGGTGGATCTGATGCAGATGTGAAGGCGCGGATCGGCAAAGCAAGAGCAGCATATTTACAACTGAGGAACATCTGGAACTCAAAGCAACTGTCAACCAACACCAAAGTCAGGATTTTCAATACAAATGTCAAGACAGTTCTACTGTATGGGCCAGAAACCTGGAGAACTACGAAAGCCATCATCCAGAAAATACAGGTGTTTATTAACATTTGTCTACGCAAAATACTTCAGATCCATTGGCCGGACACTATTAGCAACAACGTACTGTGGGAGAGAACAAACCAGATCCCAACGGAGGAGAAAATCAGGAAGAAGCGCTGGAAGTGGATAGGACACACATTGAGGAAAGCACCCAACTGCGTTACAAGACAAGCCCTCACATGGAATCCTCAAGGCCAAAGGAAAAGAGGAAGACCAAAGAACACATTACGCCGGGAAATGGAAATAGGCACGAGAAAAATGAACAAGAATTGGATGGAACTAGAAAAGAAGGCCCAGGACAGAGTGGGTTGGAGAATGCTGATCGGCGGCCTATGCTCCATTGGGAGTAACAGGCGTAAGTAAGTAAATTCCAAGTGCGTGGTATGGTGGTGTTTACCGAAAAATTCACATTACGTTGAGAAATAACCCGTAAAAATAGCGCAAGTTGTTGTTTTAGAACTGGCCTGCGTCAACACCCGAACTAAAGATGGGGAGTGAAGTAGTCGAACGCGTCGACAACTTCACTTATCTTGGAAGTCTGATCAGCCCTAATGGGCTGGTATCAGACGAAATCTCAGCACGGATTCGAAAAGCTCGTTTGGCTTTTGCCAACTTACGTCACCTATAGCGAAGGCGAGATATCCGTCTATCAATAAAAGGACGAGTATACTGCGCGGCAGTTCGTTCTGTTTTGCTTTGTGGCTGCGAAACGTGGCTATTAAGAGATGAAGATACTAGTAAGCTACTAGTATTTGACCACAAATGCCTTGGAAGTATTGCTCGCATCTGCTGGGATCACCAAGTAAGTAATAGTGAGGTTAGACGTAGGGTATTAGGGAACGATGGTAAATCAGTTGATGAGGTTGTGAATCTTCATCCACTGAGATGTTTGGGCCACGTGTTGCGTATGTCTGAACACCGATTACCACGATGTGCAATGCTAACTGGTGTTGGGGATGGTTGGGAGAAAGTTAGGGGCAGCTAAGCCAAAAACGTGGCATCAGTGTTTGAAGACACTAACCTCTAGTCTGAACCATGTTGGTAGAGGCAGATCACTTGGTTGGGGTCCGCGTGACTCTCTGTCTTCCCTTAAACTAGAGATTAAAATCGCTTCATATCTTTCTTTCTACGACCTAATTCTTTCTTCCTGTACTATATGCAATTATATGCAATATTTCTTTTATATATTACCACCACTGAATTAACTACTTCTATGAATCCGGTGTTCATCTTGTTGTGCTAATGAGGTGTGGCAACTTGGACCGATGCACATATGTGCCTGGCCTTAGGTTGTAGGTGACTGAGGTAAGTATAATACTTGAATTTAATTCCTAACCCTAGCGTTCATCTGAAAGTTATAATACTGTTTCCTCGCATTTATTTATAGTCCTTATTTAATCCTATTATTAGGTGGATATTCGTAAGGTCACGTCGCTCAAATCTCGGCACACAGATAGTCTCTGGAATTTCGTTTATAACTGCATTAGAAGCTGCAGGATCCTCTCAGAACACCCGGTATGTCTACGATTAAATAACCATGACTAACAGAAACAACATGGATCTTTATTTTCATCACCAAAAAATGACAGCTGCTACGTTGGGTTTGACAACACCTAAATGCTTAGGTTATTTCCATACCTAATGGTTTCGAGTGCATTTAGTAAGTCTTCTTGATTTGAAGCTTAAGGGAATTTATTAGAAATGATTAAAGCTGTGATAAATGGAAACAAGATTATAGAATTTTTAATCATCAATCACTACCACATACCTTCAGTATGATGCTTCAGTGTAAGGTGGGACTTAAATGACTTTGAACATCGCTGGCATATTGGTCTATCTGTTTGATCTTCAAATTCATAACTGATCGAATGAACCATATGCTTTCCAAGGTGATGAGCATATGTAACTTAAAACATCCAGTCGTCAAAAGATCTGGAAAAAATACCATCGGACGATTAAACTGATGACTTATTAGGCACATAGTCTGTAGCAAAGCTTGATAACCCAGGAGGTTCAAAACGCCTAACAAGGTGTAACGTTTAATACGAAGACGCGCCTTCAGCAATTGCAGACTGTCGATTGCATTTTCCTTATTTCTAGTGTCCAATATCTTTGTGATGAGCCAAAGCAGGCCAAATGACTTCTTTATTATTGCGTCTCGGCGTTACGTTACCATTTCAAGTTTATTGAGTACTAGCAAAGTTTTGCTTTGTGCGACGTGGCTTCTAGAATCGATAGTAAGTCAAAGCAATGAAAAATACTAACACAGACTTTCTTTACATTCAAACGATGCTAATTTACTGGTTTCATTAACTCCTAGACACCTTAGTCACGGTTCACTAGTATCAGGACGTCATTGAGCACTTACTGCCTGCTAATCTTAGTTTTGATATTAAAATAGACTTTGTTAAATGGTCCTTCCTCTAAGGACGTCTTGTACTTCGGGATACTATTATTAAAGAATTATTGGTTTTTCTTTTTTAGCAAGTGCTGCTACTTGATGTTTTCATACGGTTTGGAGAAACATCATAACTCGGGTCTTTAAAATGTGTACAACTAACAAATCACCCTTCAAATGAATATCTTTGTGGTAATACTCCTAACAGCTGAATATCATTGCTATAAATCAGAAAATGATTGGAAATTCCCTCAATGTGCGGTTACGTCTCGTTTATTACTTTTATGTTCGGTGATGTATGTAGGGGATATTTCATGTGATCAGGCGAACTGAGAGAGCGAATTTGCAAACTGAGTAGATGCGAAGAGATGTAACATCCTAATCAGTGAGTAATGGATGACTTAGACTATATAAGGCGAATAACGTATGAATGACAGATAACGAATTCGAGCATTCTTGACTGACACACAAGAGGCCAGCGCAGCTGAACAACATCCAAAACTAACAGTCAATAACTAACAAGAGCACATGTGAGAAAATATAGTTACGTGTTCAACAACATTAGCCGACGTATGCTTCCATAATGTTACCACGCTTAATATTTCTGAATTTCATCAGCATGTTCTAGCTTTATTACTGACCCCGAAAACTTCAGGCTCAAAATCCTACATAAAGACGTTCAATCAATGATTCTTATTCTTGTGGAAATAAACGATTTAAAACTTACCACTTATGTTCAGTTCAAGTTGGTTTGTAGTAGTAAATAAATCCTTAAAATAAATGGTTTTGTAACTTTACGACATGGATGCTAACCACATTACTTTTACTGGACACACCCTAGCTAAAGGCTCTCGGTCACTCATCCTCGTCACATAACGAAAGGGTACGCCGCTTTATGCATCCCTTGTGACAAATCATGTGAAATTGGAAACATGTGATATAAGGCCGGTCATAGTAGCCCATCGAATGCGTATTGAACACTGAAATATTTTTCCACTGGGCAACAGAATGAATAATGACATTTTGGATTCACTGGCTACGATAGAGCACAAGAAATCCCCAGCAATTTAAATATATTATTAGGAGCTTTCTTCAACGATATATGTTTAGTTCAATATGGAATTTTCAGAACAAAGTATTTCAACAAGTTTCTTCCACAAAACAAAGGTCAAAAACCGATGCATTTATAAATTGATTAGATTCATAGGCTACTTGGGATTGACTGAAATGTCTTTCATAAGATTGGAATCCATACAACTATGATTTCAGGAACGTGTTTAAAAATACGAGCTATTAACTCGATCAGCTTTTAAAACCTGTTCGTCACGTAATATATTTGCTAGATAAGGTGCTGTAGAGCTTTTGTACTTTTTCTTGGGCATGTAGGTTCTAATGTTTTGGCGCCTCGTTTTCCTAGGAGGTATACAAAGAGAAAGATATGAATGAAGTGTGTGGTTAGTATCAGATAAGACAACACTTGTGAAGAGTTTGCAGGACTCTAAATGTCGATTCACATCCATATTATTAATGATTTGCCATACGCCATAAGAACCAACTCAGCACTCTCCGCAAAACAACAAAAACTTCCTTCAAAAGCCTGTAATCGGGTAATGGAGAACGGAATAAGATAACGGGCGTTATTTAAGAAATGTTGATTAATACCAGAGGAATTCAGTCTCTTCATATAGTGACTGAGACGTAACAAACCAACCAAGCAAAACTAGCTAATTCAAATGAATAGTTCAGCTCTTCTATCACTCATAATGGGTAATTGAATGTCACTTCTGAGACTGCGCCGCAGCAGCAGATGAATTCTAAGCATCAGTCACTTGTCTTTTTGTTGAGACCACATACTGACCAGCAACAATATAATCTACTAAAAGATGAAATGCAAACTGGATGCTTGGCTCGGAAGCATTCACACATGTAATAGAAGGGAGTGTTATTTCAGTATATATTACTAGTAAAGCCACTTGTAAATCACTAGTGGCCAAAGAAAATGACTATCGTTTATTTGAAATGCGAAAATTAGAATTAACGGCTCGGTTTCACTCTAGTATATGTTGCATTGGTAGCACAAATGAATTCGCTGACTTGCAGTCGTGGATATGGGTTGGTGACCTCACCTGACCTAGTTTTGACTACAAATGGTTATCTGAGCTACAAAAAACGGACAGGAAATTGAGATAATTGGTGTCGCTTACAAAAATTTCCTTATTCTTCCTCGACATACGATTCTATGAATTTAGAACGGTATATTTACTTGTAAATACATATATGCTATAAGTTATGGAATGCGTTTTTTACAAGATGAACATACCTCATATTCAAATCAAACCTGGCACGAAATCAAGCACCTATGGATTCCCGTGGCCTAATATCAGTGGCTGTGTGTAACAGTGGACGAAAACGTGTGATATCTCTCAAACTCCTAGAAATACTAGTTCTTTGTTGATTTTTGTCACGCTTAAATGCATTTGAACTGACCTGTTATTGCTTTCAAAGGGCTTCAGTTTCACTGTAGCTATGGAACTTGCGGCAAACGGGATTTTGGAATTCAGTGTTACACTAATCCTCACTGCTTACAGAAAGGGGAATTTGAAAATTGTTTGTTTCAAATATATTCGATCGCCCAGGTATCAAATTGATGGCCGAAATATAATGTAATACTATTTTTGAGAATCGCTTCCTAATTTCCTTATCAGGCAACGCCTATTCTCCTCTTAACACTCACTGATAATCCTCTATGCTGTACATTATTAGCGCAAAAAACGGACGATCAGACTGTTTTGATGTTTTTCCTAACATCAGATATTCATTTGCAATTTAAATTTGATATTATTCACCAAATGGTTTTCAACTCATAAAGAATGTGCTACATTTCTTGTTATTTTCCAACACAAACTTCTTAACTTACATCTGTGTTGCATCTAGGAGGTACTACTACGAAGAACGGTCTGTGAGTCTGTAACAGCTTAGGTTGGTTGGTTAAGAGTTCCCTGACTTAGTCTCTGCACTATATATATATATTACTATTTATGGCTTTGCACTATCATGTGTACTGATAACCTTATCATGACTGGAAGAACTGTTTAACTAAACTGGCTACATATTCCTGTATACCAACCCTAAAGCCTAATCTGTTTTGACCTGATAATCTAGAAGCGAGATTCTGCCGTGAAGATTTCGGAAAGTCTGGTGTGATTCGTAGGTGAACTTAAGTTCTCTCTGTGTACGATCAGTGCAACTCAGAGCATAACACACCAGCCAATTTTAGAACCTTTTAGAACCTTAACAGTTACTTAAAATGATTATACCTCAGAAAGGTCTGTCTAGTTAAGAATGAATAAATTAACTGTCCCGTGAAATCAAAGTGGAATACAGCTAGCTACAGGAATGATGTCAGGAATGAAAGTTTGTAGTAACCGTGGAATAACACCAAATCTTCACTACAAATGACTTATCAATCTGAACTATTTCTACATTAGATGGTGGAACACTGGACGTTGAATGGTTGATGGAAGAACATTATTACGGCTGCATAGATTGACCACATCCAGTGAGAAATAGTAGGATAAGTTAATGCACTGATATAAATCTTGAACCTTAATCCTTTAAGTTCATTGACCTAAAAGCATCCTACATAGGTCCTCACCAGAAACAATTTTTCTATAAACTGCCACAATATGTAAATGTTTGTGCTGCAATTAGAAATGGTTGGTTAGGGGAGGGAACTAGCTATTTCCTAAAGTCTGATTCAGAAGAAAGCATAAACACTTGTTACAGAGAGCTGTCCCGGACCAGAAAACTACCAGACATCTCAAGACGGTATTCGTAATCTTTGTAACCCTACACCATTTTTTATTTTAAAGGTGAATAGAAATCGTCTTGAAGTCCAAGAAGAACCCCTTCGTACAATACTTCATTCGGAAGACATAAAAATGAACGACATTTTTGCGTATGAAGGCTTGTAGATGTAGTCTTCAATTCACTGAACTAGTTTCTGGAGACGATAATGATTCCATCATTTACCGATTCCTCCTGAACGAGACTTCGGCTCTGAATATTCTAAGGAAGGATACTAGACATGCTATTGTTCGGATTTTCAGTCTATTACTAACTAGTACTTCTATTGTTTCACATTTCTGATGGACTAAGGTGAGAATCATATATTTAAATAACAAAGCAACTACTTCTACAATCCAGATCGATATCATTAGGACCGAGCAATTAGCAAATTATCCTCAAAAGTTTGATGACACTAATCAAATTATATCCGATCTCAAATCGAAGTTGTCTGTGTCGATATCCGGTATAAATGAAAAGCAAGGACCGTGATAGTCTTGTCACAAAGCTTTATATCTAGACTTCTGCCTCCCTAGTTCACATTTTAAAACACAGAGTTTCATAACTTGTTTCCTAAAATGATGTGAATCCATGATGACAAGCGCTGTCATATGAGTAAGTTTGTGACTGAACTGCCGAAAAACTGTTATGGGAACTAGAATTATAAAAGAACACGAAGTAATTTGATCACAGTGTAGGATAAATTGGATAATCCAAGTCATCTTGACAAAACTGTTACACGTCATCCACCACCGCATCCCATAAGATCAACCTTAGCTAACTGCACTTCTTTTCATTCTTGATCTATCCCGTCCAAATTACGCCTTCAAGCGACTAGA